TTTAATTTCAAAATTGAATTCATGGGTTAATACAAGAAAAGTTTAACTTTTCTGTTTTCCTTTTCTGTCCACCGTTTTCTAAATACTCAAGATCAACAAGCATTTATTAAGTGCCCAACTATGTGCCAGGCACCATGCTATGCAATGAGCATCCAAAGACAAAAATAATCCATCCTTACCCTCAGGGAGCTTAAGAAGAGCTATCACTGCTAAAGAAAAGATTTGCTTCTAAATTATTACTGTATCTGTAAAAAAGCAAGGCTTCACTCTTATCAATATGAGATACAGAAGACAGAAACACCATCACTACTACAAGTCATCTAATGCACTTAAAATTTGAATTCTATAAGGTTACCAATTTTTTATTTTTTAAAAAAAGGAAAAATAGCAATCTAATGACCATGAAGTAACCTTCAAAAATAAGCTGCCCACACAAATAGTTCTACCTGATGCTCAAAAGACATCACCTAATCTCCTACCCCCAAGTCTTCTTACCAACTAAACTAATAGGGCTTTTGTTTTTTAAGCTGCAAAAAAATTCACCAATGATAGATGATTTCCCCATAGGAAAAGTTCCTACAAGCAATACCATAGTGTTTAAACCTTATTTTCTTTTATGATTTCCATTTTTAACCTCTTCTCCCTGTCCCTGCCAAAACACTGTGAAAAAGGAATGTCTGTCAAGATTTGTTTCAATCTACTACAGTTGCAAAAACTGACATCATTTCATCACTTTGTAAGAAACCTTCTAAAAGTGCAATGTAACAAAATTAAAGGCCTTAAAGTTTTGAACAAAGTTCTTCTGAGAATCCTATAAAATTGCTGTATAAACCAATATGCTTAATGGTAACATGTCTGCAGCCTTTACAACTTTTTTTGCACTTTTTACAAATTAAAAGAAAGGGGCAGCTAAGTGGCTGAGTGGATAGAGTACCGGCCCTGAAGTCAGGAGGACCTGAGTTCAAATTCTGCCTCAGACATATAACACTCATTAGCTGTGTGACTCAGGGCAAGTCACTTAACCCCAACTGCCTCACCAAAAAAAAAGAGTCTACAAATTAAAAGACAAGAAAAATGAAACAGAAGATAAAGCTCCACCACCATAATCTTTTACATGAAGAATCAAACACATTACTAAGCCTTATAAAAATCAAAATGGGGATTTGCACACAAATTTTTCCAAACGCTACTGGGCTCTCATAATTTTTACAATTTTAGAATGTTAACTAAGCTTCTTCCAGCACATGTTCTTCTTGTGTGGTAAACAGTACTTGAGTCTTGCCTAGAAGAAGAAATCCTTTGGGCAAATTATACAGTGCATTTTAGTTATGATGTTTAAGGAACAGTAGAAATATCCATGTAACCCAATTTCCTATGTTCACTGATCTTTAATCACTGAAGTTGGATCCTGTCACTTTCCTCCCAAAAAGCCCAAAAGGGACTATTTACTGATAAAAGCTAACTGAATCTTATGCAGAGTCTGAAGTCAAGTTCTTGGCTTATGAAAAAATCACCTTAACCTAATGGTCTCTTTTTTTAAATGATGAAAATTAGTTTCAGTAGCTTTAAATCAATGCAACAAACATAGCCTACATAAAACTGCATTCCTAAAAACAACTGGTATTTTATGTTTGGAAACCACTTTTTATTTTCTCATTTAAGCCTCACCACAACTCGGAGGGGCAGGTACGATAGAAGTTATCAGCACCAGATTAAAGATGAAGAAGCTGAACCTGAAAAATTTAAGTGACCATTTAAGTCCATGATCATATAACCAGTGTCAAAAGGTTACAAACCCAGTGAGTGCCTCCTGAATGAGTTCAGGACTCTTTTCCACTACCTGATGCTTTATCCATTACACAATGATGCTTCTCATTCTTTTAAAACTGTCATTTTGGGGGGGCGAGAAGGGGAGATAGGGAAGATGCCTTTAAATAAACTAAATTACCTGTATTACCCAAATTATCAGTACTAAGAAGCTATCCACCATCAATAAGGACCTGTAAGATTATTTTCATATCAAAATTTTCCCATTCAGGCAGATCACTATTAAGCAACAATTTATTTCTTTTACACAAAAATGTCTGCATGTTAACACCAGTACAAACATTCTAAACTGAATCTGAAGGCTATAAAGAAGCAATTTCATTTTTCTGTAAATTCCACTATGAAACTGGATTTGTCTCAACCTCCAGAGCTAAAAGTTTTAGTTGGAGGCAGTATGGAAACCCAAATTTTTTAACTACCCTACTTTAAATTATTTACGCTTATCATGCAACTTTCTTTGAAATAATCTATTCATCTCAAGGACAGAACTAGTAAGAATTCCTGCAATGACAGAACATGCCCAACTGTTCAAAGAAAACCATGACAAATATGAAGGTATAATGCCTGAAAATAAACTATATGACAATGTTTTAGAAATCTAATTTACTATTCCCTAACAAAATGAGATATTACAGTCCTTAGCTACCCAAAAGAAACTCACTTTAAATGCAGAATGCTAAAACTAAGAATTTGTGTATTTAAAGGCAATAAAAACAAATGAAGATAATAATTTGTCGTTGAATTCTTAAGGAATATATTTAATGGAGAATCAATGGGAAAAGTCTTTAAAAAGAAAATGGCCAAATTACTGCGCACCTCTTGCCATGCAAAAGTAGTATTCTCCTAGAAGAGACTACTTGCATTTCAGTCAAGCTTGACTGACAAACATTTTTAAATCTGACAGTGTATAAGGTTTGTTTATGAACTGGAAAGCTTTCCATTATACTATCAGGAAGAAACCTGATGACTTCCAATACTGATGATCAATCTTATTATCAGGACTCTACCCCAAAACTAATCCTTATTTCAAGGAAACTGCAGGATATAATGGTTTCTCCATTAACTTTCATCAGTATTTTAATGATAGAGGGAGGAGACAAATTAGGAGCCTGAGGGGTTGAAAAGGAAAAAGAGGTTAAGGAAAAGATCAGCTAGTCTAACTTTTGACTCCATTTTTTGCCACAACTGTCAGAGCCTAGAATATTGTGATGAATACAGGGTTGTCAGGGTCTGCCTTTTAAAATTAAATCCACACCAACACCACACAGAGATTTGGAAGTGAATCAAACTTTGTGGGTGTTTGCTTGTGAACTACTTTTGAAAGTAAAAGATATACTAGTTGATGGACATTATACCTTCCAACCCATTTTCTAAGGATACTGCTTAAATATAAAAGATCACATCACAGACTAATTTGCTTTTCTGTTATTTGTGTATTATTACAGCGAACTCTTCTAAAATGCAAAGTCATATTATTTTTTACTTTCTATTTTTGTTTTTCTAAAAGCACTTTTATAGGAACTAACCACACTCCCTCCAATCTATCTGTTCTTTTCATTGAAGTCAGTTTCACTGACAGTGTCACCAGAACCATGCATGGATACAGTTTTATCATTTCTCTTAACCTAGCTCCACTGTCAGGTTAAAAATAAACAAATGTGTTAGATTTTTCAAGAAAAAGTATTCTGTTCAGACAACTGCCATATTGGAAGTTAAAAGAAAAAAAAAGACTTGCTATTAATTCCCCCCCAAAATACAACTACTAACCAAATCTAATCTGAACTACAGAGAAAATTTCCATCCAAATCCCAAGCAAACTAGATAAGTGACAAATTAAACCATATTTTCAGACATCCAGTCACCTAGTCAGCTGTCAATTATGGAAGAGAACAGAGGCATGGAAAAATCCAAAGTAGTAATCAAAAAATCATTTATATTTAGCTTTTCAATGCTTGTGTGTGCCAGAGTTACCTTCTTTTGTATCATTTGGGGTAATATGGTAAATAATTTACATAATCTGAGCATATACCAAATAGCTGAAGGCGGCAAATCAGAGAAGCACACTAAATAGGCTAGCAGTCTAAAATGAAAAGATTTGTCAAAGACTGGTAAAAGCAGTTAATGCGCACATGGATAATTGAAAGTAAAATGAAAAGACTTGCTTTCCTTAATTTAAAATTTGAGCAATCTGCTTAAAATTTCCCAAAATGGTATTTCCTGCTTACACTGTCATTCAAACCCCCAGTTCTTTTACTCTCTAAAAGTCCCAGTAAGCATGGCCAAACACGGGACATCCTCCCTTCAGGAACTAAAGATTTAAAGACTTTAACTAAAGAAATAGGGGGAAATAAGAGCAGCCGGCTTATAGAGAAAAGAGGCGGGGGAGGTGAATGAACAGCAGCTTTAAGACAGTTAAGGAACTAGATTAAGGTGAAATAAGTGCTTAAAGGGTAGCATGGGCCAGGACAGGAGTCCAAGAAAGCCTGTAAATGGGCAGCAGCAGCAGCAGCAGCAGCAGCAGCAGTTATCCCGGGGCAGGTGTACCAGTGTGCTGGCTGAAAGCAGCAGCTCCGGGGCGTCAGAAGGGGTAAGGGGTCCATGTCCGGAGTGACGGCAGTGGGGCAGATAACAATTACCAGCCCTGGCCGTGGAATTAATGTGCAGCAAGCAATAGGAGCGAGAGTGGAGGTGATGTTAGTTACAGGGATGGGGGGAGCGAAGGCTCCGGAGAACGGCTGAGACCAAAGGCATAGGGAGTTTGGGGAAACATGCAGTATCAGCCCCTAGTCTTCTGTCCCAAAAAGAAGGCAGGGGAGAAGGGGGGGGAGGGAGGAGCTATACAGGCCCCCCCCATGGAAGAGGCTTTCTAAGGAGGCTCCAGCTCGCCCCAGCCTCCTCCTCTTGCTGCTGCTGCTGAAGCCGCCGTTGCTGCCGCCGCCTCGCTCCCTTTTCCTGGTGGCGGCTGGGGAACCGAAGGGGGAGGAAGAGAAGGAGGAGGAGGAGGAAGACGAGGAGGAGGAGGGTGAAGAAGAGGCAGGGGGTGGGGTATGTGTTGGGGGGTGGGGGGGCGGTGCGGCCTGCACAGTCCCCGCGAAGCCTCCGCGCTCTCGTAGCCGGCCAGCCTCCGGCTCCCCCTAAGCCCAGCCCCGCAGACACCCACCCGCCTTCCGCACCTCGCTTTCTCCTCCTCCCGAGCCCACGGGCTGGCGCGTCCTCGCAAGCGACTGCTGAGCGGCTGCCGGGGGAGGCCTCGTCGGGACCGGGCTGGATGGCTCCTCCAAGTCCGACCTTTACGGCTGAGAGGGGGACTCTCGGCTTTCCGTGGGTTCCACAGCCGGACGGGCCACCATCTTACATTAGGGTAAGACTGCTCCGGCCCTCTTGCGCAGGCGCACACGGACCCAGCCGGGAAGGGGGGAGGGGGGAACCGCGGGAGGAGAAGGAGGTGGCTCCGACTCGTCTCGCTGCACGCTGGGAGTTGTAGTGCTTCGGCAGCAACCGCCCAGTTGCAAGCCGGGAATTGAAGTTCCCTTCCCTCTCTTCTTTTCCTTCTTCGAAGGGAGAGCGGGTGGAGTGGTGGGCAGATCTCACGTGGCTTCCTAAACTGCTGACTGCCCTGGCCCTTCCCTACCCTCTCCGCGAGCTTGTAGCGCTCCGGTATCATTTGATTGTGGGTTTTCGTTACTGCTATGTTTTTTCCCCTGTTTGCTGAAATGCGGCAATCAGGGTTGCCCGTGGCATCCAGGAGCAAGTTGCCAAGATTGGGAGAAGACATAACCTCCCCTGCTCGTTTACTCTAGAAAATGGGAGGATTACGGAGGAAACCGGGACCGAATGAGAAGCTAACATTAAAAATCGAACACTAGGGGTGGTCTATGATGCCGGGTCCCAGATGAGTAGGATTACCATTAGAATTGAGTTAATGCGCACGGAGCGTGAGCGAATATATAGTAACAGTTAAAGGATCTGTTTTCCCCTTTACACCTAAGCTATAGTCAACGTTTCCTCCTTTTTAGCGATAGTAACAAAATGCAAAATGTTCTTCTTCGGTTTCTTCCGAAGCGTACGAAAAAAGCTAGCTGCACATGCAGAAATATGTGAGTTGACGTGCAAGCACGCGAGAGCTCACTTTGCCAAGGGTGGGGTGGCAGACCTGCGGTGGACTAGACCGTGCTTCTGGTCAAACTATTGCCGCTCCACTCTTTTGCTTATCTTTTCCCCTCTTTCCCCCCAGCCTGCCCATGAAGCTGCAAAAATGGCTGGCTAGCCTTGTAAAAGTCCTCATGATTCAAAAAGCATCCAGTTCAAACGCCCCTACCGTTTGTGACATCCAGCACCCTAAAACGAAGGTTCAGCAGTCTCTTCTGCTTGCCCTTGTGATACTAGATATGGGTCCAGTGGTAAAGCAATAGTTTCAAGTTCCACAGCTTCCGCCTAGACAATTCTTGCCTGACTCTCTCAGGCTCCCCCTTCTGTAAATAGAAGTGACGCTACTTTGACAGGTCCGCGAAGGCTGAAACTGCCTTTAGCATTTTTTTCCCTACCGTTCCCAACTAAAAAGAGCCACAGAATTATAGAATTTTGGAAATAGAAGAGATATTAGAGATAATTTAATCCCACCCATTCTCTTTACAGATGGGCAAACTACATGTGGATCATAACCATCAAAAGAAGAGCATTAGCATAGCTATAAGAAAAAATGAGAAAAAGTTCTCTGAAAAGTTGAAAACAGCTTCCGTAAGAATGTATATAAAATGTAAGATATAATTAGATGCACAATAAATACTTGTTGACTGATGCAATGTTTGGAAAGTACTTTGAAAGTCTTTTTTTTAAGTATATATACTAAAGTTGTGTATTATTAGTGGTTAAAAGTACCAGTTCCTTACCTACCACAAAGTAAGTATTGTGTTGAAAGAACCTCCTCCTTTATCGTTCAACCTATTTTCCTTTTTGCTACAATCAGTAAAGTAGGAGAAAAGTGTCAGTGACGTCTCCACCAAGAGAAATCCTCCGGCCCACCCGCCGTCAATTTGACACTTTTAATTAAGCGCTGAGGCTATAATGACCGGGAGGATGGGGGTGGGGAATCCATTTCAACTTTCCTTCCCTGATTTCCCCTGCCAAAAATGTGCTTTCTCTACTTGGAATTCTCATGGCACTTTATATTTTATGCATTTTCACGCTCCACATTTTTTGTCCTCCAAATCTGTGCTTTTGTTGGTGGAAGGAGTGCCCTTGAGGATAGTTCCTCTACCAATTAGAGCAAATGGAGGTTAGCAAGTTAGAACCTTAGAAAGTTGCCTGGGGGCACTGTGAAGTGAAATATCTTGTTAGAGACCACTAGGAGAGGAGGAGTCAGGGTCAGGATTTGAATCCAGGTCTTCCTGACTTCTACATTGACTCTCTTTTATTGCATATGTATATAAATGTCTCTTTGTCCTCTAGGACCCTAAACTCTATTTGGAAAAAATGAGACATGGTCAAAGTACCAACAGTAATGGCATCATCAGGTACATCTTTTTACAGTACTAGAAACCCCATCGAGAACAAGCATTGTGTCTTATTCATCTATTTATCCTACCCAAGGCCTAGCACCTTACTTTGCTTAAAGAAAATACTCAGCAACATTTGTTGAATGGAAATGCTCTTTTCTCTTTCCTTTCCTCTTCTTCGGCTCCATTTTACTCTCCCTTCTCTCCTTCCTTGCTTCTGTCTTTGTCCTATCACTGGCACCCACCGGCAATGCTAGCTTTGCTAAAAAGACTGCTAACAATCCTCTATAAAGTCAAAGTGAAAAAGGGACCATTCATTTTAAAAATGTAAAGACTGTGTTGTCTTTTCAGAGTTCTGTTTTGCTGGTATATTATAGATGCAGTTATTTACAGTACTACTTCAAGGAATGTACTGTTAAATTAAAAAGTACTCAGAGCCTACTCCTGCTAGATCATAACAAGTAAGTTTTGTCTTACCTATGATATAATTAGCCATTTCAAAGGACCCTTCCAGTTCTAAATACTGTTTGTTGCTCTATGAATTAGAGAAGAAGCATTGAAATTGTAATTGAGCAGGCAAGGAAATGCTGATATAGAAGAGAAGGGATCAGAAGGAGCAAATAAAGGTTAGGATCATAATTTTTATGTCATTATTCCTTAGCTACCTCCAGAACTGGGGAGAGGGGTTTTATAGTGTACATCAATTTCAAAAATGGTAAAAGCATGCAAATATGAATTGGTTAGAATACATATTAATATTCATAAAATATTTCCTGTTCTCCCAGACTCTAATGTATCTGTGACTTTGACATGGGTTCTTTCCCCAGCACACAGATCATGACCAATCCATGCCTGCCCATCTTATGTGACTCTTCCATTCATGAAATAAACATGTTTATCATTATTTAAAAACAAAAATGTCATCATGATAAAGACTAAGACATCTAATAAATTGCACTTTTAACAGAACAGCTTAATCACAGAGTCATGGATTAATCAGCCTGGAGTGGAATTTAAGAAATCACCTGAATGTCTAAATCAGAGGTTCTTCACTTGGGGTCTATGAAATTTGTTTTTAATACTTTGACAATTGTATTTCAATATACTTGGTTTCCTATGTAATACTATGAATTTTATTTTATTCATTTAAAAACATTACCCTGGAAGGGAACCATGCTACAAAAAAAAAAATGGTTCAGAACCCCTGGTGTAAATAATCAAGAACAGGTGTTATCTATTCTCTTGCTAATCTCCAGAGAGGAATTTCAAGGCCCTCTCAGAGTTTTGTCACCCTTACAAGGAGAATGCACTTTAAAAGTGCTTTCCCTTCCTTCACTCGTTATTTATTTTTTTTTTGTTTTCTCCTTGTTTGATCTTCCATGTACATTAGGGGGAGGGGGCCTCTATCTTCAGTCCCCTTTTATAATCTCTTCCAGTTCTCCCTTTCTTCCTTTCATAAAATGTCATCCAGGTGATATTCTTGTTGATCAAAATAAGGACATAGGATTTAAATCCAGCAAAAACCAACAGAATTTTTAGACTCAATAAAATATGACAGCAGAGATTGATTGATTTTTGTCTTTGTATCCTCAGTGCCTAGCACAATACCTTGCATATTGAAGGTACTCAATAAATGTTTGCTGAATTTCATCTGGTGCCTTTTTAAATGTATAAGTTGTACCCTTAGCTAGAAGAATGGAAAGAGTCTTCCGAGACATTCTTTTTTTTCCTACAGAAATACAATCTTTATTCAAAACTGAGAGGCAGGCTGGCATAGTGAATAGGGAACCAGTCGCAGAGATAGAAAAATTGGGGATCAAGTCCAGCCTTTGATTCCAGGTGAATAACTCACCTCTCAGTGTTACAGACAGTCCTCTAAGGCTACAAATTGCACACACAGGAACTAATCTTTATTATTAGAAGGCATTTCCTCATTGAAAGTTTCTTACACCAGTGAAATCACAAGTCCTATAAAAAAATTTATAAACTAAATGATGTCCTTTAGGCACATCAAGGAAGGTAATAGAACTAATGAGGGATTTTTTCTTTGCTATCCATTACTGTCCTTAAGTGTTTACCCCCAATTTTTTTCTTTTCTGCCATTGGATGAGATAGTATCAATGTCTTTGTGTGAGTGGATATGTTCATTTAAATTTATCCAAATTGAATTTTGTTCCACCTTGCCCAGTATTCCACCTTCTGAACTGCTTTGTATGCTCTTTATTTTATCTGTAGGGTCACAGGACTCTGACAGAATGTCAGAGGTGATTTCAGAGGTCACTAATCCAAACTGCATCTGACCCCAAATCACTGATCCAATTCCTTAACAAGTGATCTCCTAGCCATCATTTCTTCAATCAAAAGGAAACCCACTTTCCTTATACTACTTTTGGACAATTCTAATTGTTAAGTCTTTATTTGTGTCAACGTCTGTCTTCAACCTAGCTCTATTCTTTGTTGCTAAGCTGATAAAGTCCGTTCTAAAATTTGCTGATAATTTATCATATCACATAGTGTTACTGGATCATGTAATCATTATTGTTAATCTTTTGATGTTTACAATATTGAATATCAGATGAAGGGTGGCTAGGTGGCACTGTGGATAGAGTGTAGGGCCTGGAATCAAGAAGACTCTTCCTGAATTCAAATCTGGCCTCAGACACTTGTCACTACTTGCTTCAGTTTCCTCATCTGTAAAATGAGCTGGAGAAAGAAATGGTAAATCACTGTAGTATCTTTGCCAAGAAAACTTCAAATGGGGTTGAAACACAACCAAAACAAATGAATAACAACATCAGATGAAACAAAATTTCAGAGGTTAAGTGCAATTTCCTTCCACTTGCCTTATTTCCTTTAAACACCTTGTCTTCAGTTAATACACTCATTTTAAAATTTTTATAAGTATTTTACAGGTATTTAAAAATTCTGTTTTTTAATATTTCAAGGGAGATCACCATACCCTCATCGATAAGATTCTGTTATATTTGGGCAATTTTGGGATCACCATTTCTGGAAGCTTTGAATAGGATTTGAGAAGGACTTGAAAAAAAACTGAAGGAGGTGATTTTCATAACAAAAACTGAAAATAAAAAAACATGCCCAAGAATTGAAGAATGGTTTAAATAGATTGTGGTATATGACTGCAATGGAATATTAGCACACTGTAAGCAATAATGGATGTAAAAAATTCAAAAATAAAAAAACATGCCCAAGAATTGAAGAATGGTTTAAATAGATTGTGGTATATGACTGCAATGGAATATTAGCACACTGTAAGCAATAAAGGATGTAAACAATTCAGAGGAATGGGTGAAAACTTGAATGTAGCAGATGCATAGGTAGATCCAAATAAAGCAGATCCAAAAGCTATACGCACAATAACTACAATAATATAAATAAAGCAAACAATTAGAAGACAAAATTCTGCTGAAATACAACAGAAAATATGGGTCCTAGTAAAGTCAAAGCAGATACCTTGCTACTAAGCAGCTTCTGAACCCTTTTCCAGGAATGTACTTTGAGGATCAATTGAGATAATCTTTGTAAAGCATTTTGCACTGGGTGTGTAATGTAGTAGGTGCTTAATAAATGCTGGTTCTCTCCCTTTCCCCTGCTACCATCAATCAGCACCCCTCCGGTGGAGAAGGGATTGTTTGGGATTTTTATTAGGATGAATGAAAGAAAAGTGTAACAATGCTTTTTTGAAGTAATGAAATTATTTGAAAAAAAGAAGATAATTTAGGACAAAAGGACAATCAGGTGATGCACATTCATTAATGGCTCACTCATATCAATGTGATTAATGAGTATAATAAATGAGAATGCAAATCATTTAAGTACTCCTAATAAAACTTGCCTTCGAAATATATAAAGTACTTCAGAGACTGTGGTG